TTGCAAGTTTGTGTCTTACAAGTTATAAACTTGCAATTTCATCTCACAATTTTGAATTTTTTTCTGTTTATATCATTTTGAGAAAATCCGAGAAAAAAAGCCAGAATAGTGAGATAAAATGTCCCAATTACCTTTTTTTATTTTATCCTGTAGCAGAAACAAGCTTCCATAATTTACAGTCGTAAAATAATATTAGAATAATATTAATAGAGTGAACTTCTAATCGTGTTAAAAACATAAAAAACACTGTGATTTTTTTAGGTTAATGTCTTAAGTTCAGTTCTTGTTTGAGGAAAGGAAAAATGTGTTCATTTGTGTGGATGATTGTCGTAGTTGAATTATGTGCATATGCAGGAAGACACTACCAGGGGTGCCCAAACTCGGTCCTGGAGGGCCGGTGTCCTGCAGAGTTTAGCTCCAACTTGCCTCAACACACCTGCCTTTATGTTTCTAGTATGCCTAGTAAGAGCTTGATTAGCTGGTTCAGGTGTGTTTAATTGGGGTTGGAGCTAAACTCTTCAGGACACCGGCCCTCCAGGACTGAGTTTGGGCACCCCTGCACTAGACAGAAGCAGACTCCTCCACAAACTGTCAAAACTTGTAAAAGACAAACTGGCTCAGGTGTCTCATTAAAGACCGAGGCGAGAGGAGACCATTGAGTCTATTTCTCAAGCGTGTCAGTTGTTTGAACTTTAAAACCATTGTAATGGTGTTGATTTTAGTCGTTAATGACAGTGCCTCGGTGTTTCATATGGGATATTTCAGTCTGTTTTCCTCTTTGTGTTCCCAGAGGTTTGTTTTTGTAGACTGTCTACATGTTAGTAAATGGACTTTCATTGACAGTACCTCATTTTAAACATGGACTTGTATCGGACCCTGTTATGTACTTTTCTGATGCGTTTACAAAAAAACTTTTCAGGCCAAAACTTTGGTCGATATTCTCCCAGAACAGTAAATAACACAACGGTAAGCAGTTAGGGTGGGGGGGTTAAAGTTAGTTGGAAAAAGATTGGGAAGTCTTGTCAAAGCACCTTGGCCGAGAATAAAGGTGGTGTTTTGGAGGAAACACTTTATACTTGGCAACACTGTTGGCATTAGTAAAATACATAAATATTATACTTTACTTATATATATATATATATTAGGGGTGTTACGAGACACTTATCCCACGACACGAGACTGGGTTCACGAGGACGAGATTTTTAGACTTTTTTAAAGAAATTATCAATGATGAAATATATAGGGAAAAAATTGTCTTTTATTCTTATTAATTAAAATCAAGAAACTTATACATTTTCACTTCAATTTATTAAAAGTTTAACAAAAATTACATGTTTAGGGCCCTATGAAATGTTTTATTTTTTCTCACCATATTATTTATATTTTTTATTGTTACCAAATTCTG